TTATTCACCTGACTAATTGTATTGAGCACCTGCTATGTGCTGGGAACTGGACAGGTAATTAGGGCTGCAAACTTAACAACGCATACTCACTGCCCTGGCCGGGTGGCTCAGTTGATTGGAGCATCATCCCATATACCAAAAGGTTGCAGGTTGCATTTCTAGTCAGGGCATATACCTAAGTTGCAGGTTTGATCCTGGGTTCTGGGTGCACACAGGAGGCACCAGTGGATGTTTCTCTCTCATATCAATCTTTCTTTCTCTCTCTCTCAAAATCAATAAGCAAACCCCTGGGTGAGGATTAAAAAAAAAAAAATGCATGCTCACTTTCTTCAAGGAATAGAAGGTTTTGAGCTGATTGCTAACTCAGAAATTTATTTTAAAAACTAAATGTTTTTTTAAATGTGCATATCAACAAGGCTCTAAAATTTAACATCTGGATTCGATGGTGCTTTATACAAGACAGCCAGGGTTCCTGAGTAGTGATATAATTTGCCTGAATTATTTGTGGTCCACATTCATCAGGTGCAGAGGAATCTCCAAGGGGGAAACAGGGCTGCAATGTAAGCAAATGTCCCCTTCATATGCTGCTGTGCCTGTTCCAAGTAAAAGCAAATAATCAAAAGCAAGCAATTCATTCATTTATTCACTTAGTATTTGTCTAGTGCCCAGGACTTGCCATGCTCAGAGTCAGGACTGGGAATCGGGTCAACTGACACCAGCAGCTCTGGGCTCCTAGGAGAAGGGCGAATGGAACCATGGAACAGGAGCTGATGGTGGGGAGTAACTTTCAGAGGCCAAAAGCAGGAGGAATTGTGGCTGCTGTTGAAAGGGCAAGAGGGCCAGGTACCCCAAGCAGAGAGTAGCGGCAGCCAGCCCGACAGCTGCTGGCAGAAGCCAGCTCCAGAGACTTTGGAAGCTTAGTGGTTCCCAGGAAATAGTGTCCTTCTTTCAGCCTGGTTCTGAACAGACTGAGGAGCAGAACGACACACGGAGACCATGTAATCATGTCATTAGGCCTGGCTGCAGGACTCGGCCTTAAGGCCCCTTCCTCTGTGCAAGACTTTCAGGCTGATTTGTATTTAAAGTTCCAGATTTTTCAGGCTGCTATAGGGAGAATGAGGACAGAGTGAACTGGTTCTAGAAAGAGCTAAGGGGCCAAAAGGACATGGCCTTTTATTCTGAGGGAGAGATGTGAGGACGAGGTCCTGCCCCAGCCTGCAGTCCTCCTTCCTCACCCTTACCTCCTTTTTCTTTCCCTTTCAAGCCTGTGTTCTGCCACTTTCTTCTGTCTTCTTCTCTGTCTTCTCACAGTCCTTATTTCTAATCTTGATTTGAATTCAAAAAATAAGTTTACGGTGCTATAAAGAGGTGGTGCAGAACTCCACACGGAATAAAGGCACGTCACCCCCCTCCCCAGAGGCGTGCACATGGCCCACTGGAGGCCACGCTGCATCCAGACACTGCCTTTCTCGTCCAGAGGGGCCCCCATGTACTGTTCACGAACAGAGTGAGTGTCCAGGCCTCGCAACCTGCCTAGAAAACCTGTCTCTTCCTGACACGCTTTGAAAAAGTGGCACGAGGACATGCACACAGTGACTGTCAGTTTAAAGGTCTAAGCGGCAGATCCAGGACATTTTGTGCGTTTTTTTTAAGGGTGGGGTAATAGAGAGAGGAAGAAAGAAAGGAAGAATGTAAACTTTTAAGATTTATTTTTAAAAGAAAGAACTCCTAAATTAGCAGAGTACACTTCTGTCCTAGGACCCTCTTTTTAAGTGCCAGTACTTATTTTTTTATTTTAATTTTCAAAACATAAAATATTTCACACAATAGAAATATGCAGAATAATATAATCCCAAGTAACCATCATTCAAACTTACTAATCATTACCACTCTTGTCATTTATTTAAGATATATTTCTCAGAAATAAAATATTACTAATGCAGCTGACCCTCCTTTCCATACCCCTCGCAGGGGCCCTCAGTGTGCCAAAAAGGGGAGAGGGTCCTACTTCTTACTGTTGCTCCTTCTCCTGTGCCTGTAAATAGCACAATGTTGTTTGCACAAGTCCATCACTATCGTCTCTACATCTTTCTTTTTAATTATTATTTTTCCCACCCAAATTTACACTCTCAAGACGTATTCATGTTGATACAAGTGGAGCTAGTTTCCTCACTTTCAGCCCCAGGGAACGTTCTGTTCCATGAAATATGCCCGATTCTTTACCTAGGCCTCTCCTGATTGCCATTCAGAAGGTGTCCAGTCTTGCACTTTTCGAACAATGCTGCACGCGCCGTGCCTGGCATTTTCTCCGCAGTGGACAATGAGCCCAGAGTTCCAGGGTGACAGGATGTGGCATCTCCTGCTCTTTCGTTTGTTGCCACATGTCTTCCTCACTCCTTTATGGCCATTTAAACTAGCAGAGCAGTGGGAGAAAGATGCCTGGCTCTGCACAGCCTGGGCCTGGCTGGTGTCATCCAAGGGGTGTATACTGTCTGAAGATTTCCCCATCACTAGTGAATGTGCGCAGCTTTGGTAGATGCTTTTTAGTTTTCCTCATTGCAGAGGGTCTGTGCCTGTCCCTGACCCATTTTCCATTGGGTGTCTTGTCTTCACCAACTGACTCAGAATTCTTCGTGATTCAGAATTCTTCTGATTCAGCATAGCAGTCTTTGTCAATTATAAATGCTGCATTTATCTTCTGAGACTTACTTTCTGTTCAACTTAAGTTTTTACTTTCAATACGATCAAATGTGTCAAATTCTTCCTTCTGCCTTCCCTTCAGTTTTTAAGAAAGAAAAAAAAAAACAAAAAACCAACAACAACGCCCTTTTCTTACCTACACAACCCCTGGTGTGTCAGAGTGTGCCAGAGTTCGGGAGGGCGGCCAGTGCGCGTGACCACGTGCTGCAGAACCGGTGCTCTGGGAGACACAAACCAAGTCAGTGTTGGCCAAAGGATGTGAAACACGGCCTCAGACAAACGCTCTAGAGAGCCTCGCTTGTTTGATAAAAGTAATTGTCAAAAGACTGGAGAGAATCTTCCTTCTCCAATGTTTCCTTGCGATCGAGGAGTCCTACCTGCTCGGGCCGGGTCAGAGCGGCCTCCTGCGGTCTCTGGGGCCTCCCCCGCGCTCACGCCCGAAAACGCCGAGGCCACCTCGGAGGTGCGCTCTGGCGTTTAAAATGGTGAGCGCAGAGCGATAGTGCAGCTGCCGGAGGGGCGGGGGACGGAGGTGAGCTAAGTTCTTCCAAAGACTGTCTTGCAGAAGCACTTAAGACAGGCACACACACAAACCCGACAACTGCGCGTCTGTTTCCACTCGCCCAGAATAGCTGCAGCGGCGCCGCGCGGACCTTTCCCGGAAGCGTGCTCGCGCGCCCGTGTCTGTGTCGCGCCGGTGAGAGTCGGGCTGGCCCGACTGTGTGGGTGTAGAGGTGAAAAGGCTGAGCACTTTCAACTTTTCTCCTTCCAAACAACCGCAGAAGAACAGGACTCTCGGGGCTACTGTGGAAATGTGTCTTCTGTGACTCCGATCCCTTCAAGGAACTCTGGCCTGTCCAGTCTCCGGCCGTCCCCCTTTCTCCCACTCCTGGTGCTCGCGGGCCCCGCACGGCGACCCCTCCCAGTCCAGGCCGCCGGTGCCGACCGGGCACACGCGGCCCAGGGGCATGGGATGAGGACACGCGGGGCCGCAGCTTGGGAAACTCTCCCAAGGGACGGAGAGAAGGGACGGGCAGAGAAGTGAGAGTCCTGACGATGAAGAAAATGCGAGGTGAGGGTTCTCTGGGCGCAGCGGGGAGAGAACCTTCAGGAAGCACTTGGGGCAAACCGTTTGTGGAGGGCATGGGAGTTGTGCTGCCCACTAAGGGAAACCTGGAGGGACGAGTCATCGAGGAAGACCTTGCAGTAATAGCGAGCTACCTAGACTAACAGTAAAGTGGGGTGGAGCCTAGGAAGTGAGAGCGCGGGTCATCCAACGTAAAAAAGGAGCCCGCCCGGTGTCCCGGGACCGGGCGCCCCTATACTCCGGGGGCCTCCTCAGCCTCTGAGTCCTCCCCGAACGGCCCGCGGCTCTCCCCGAACGGCCCAGGCCTTTGGGCCCTTTAAAAACGTCGAGTTGGTTTCCTCTTCAGGGCTCCAGCACCGGAGTGGTAGGGACCCCTCAGCCTGTACGGGGTTCCCCTCTGCGCGTGTTTTCTAGGCGCAGGTTGCAGCATCTGAATAGAGTTTGGGACTCTGGAAACACCGCTGCATTCGAAACCCTACAAAACATGTTCATGAAATGCAGAGAGAGCGGACACGCTTGAACTATACTTTTCATTTTGACTTAAATTTTCTACAATTTACAACGATGCTTCTGTTTAAGGAAAAGGAAAAGGAAAAGAAAGGGAAGGGAATTGTAGAACTACACTTTTCACTCCCCTCGGCTTTTCTTTCTTGCCGGCACTCCTACGAACAGCCAGCAGGTCCTGGGACAGGAAGGACCTTCATTAGGAGAGCTATAGGAATGTGCTTTGATACATTGGAATTACTCACATTTTAGGAGGCCAATGCCTTATCCATTAGGCTACTGGGGAATTACATTTTAAACGTTACCTTATGAAGAACTCGTGTAAAATCTGTATATTAATCTTAATTGACAAAAAAATTACACACCCTAAAATATTCACCAAACTCTTACAAAGTCCAGCGAAGCGTCTGGGTAATAAGACAGTTAGAAAAAGGTCCTGTGCCGAATAAGTTTTATTGCAATGCCTGATAAAATTGTTCTTCTTCCCGGAATAAAACATAGGTGGAAGGAGCAGGTCGCGCGCCAGGGCAAGGGCGCCCGCTGTCCGTCGGTGACCGGGGACTTTGCTGGGGCCACCGCTGCAAGGACGAGGACGAAGCCGCGGGCCACAGCGCCCCCTCGCCGCCCGCGCGCACGACTTCGGGCCCGCGCCGCTCCGGCCTCCCGGCTGCCAGAGAGCCAGGAAGGGCCGCGTCTGTCGAGTGCCTGGGCCCGCGGCTGCGGCTCTCCCGGGTAGCCCTGGAGTCCTGGCCGCATTTCTGACGTTTCTCAGCTCTTGGCCTCTCGGGGAACCAGGGTTCTCAAAAGGCGGACGTCCACGCCGCCTTGTTCTAAGAGCAGCGGCCACTGTGGGGACACGAAACAAAAATGACCGTGTTATATATATTAAAACTCCCTCTTTTTAATGTACACACGGGGGAGGGGAGGGCCCACCTTAAATCTGGAAATGCACATGGCCCACACAATTGCTGCAAGTGCTCTCGCTGTCGAGGCAGTTCCTCGGGGCTTGCCTCGCTTGCCCGCCCGTTTTCTCCCATTCCAGCTCAGAAGGCAACTGGAAAGAAACAGAAGCCAAGTGCCAGACCCTCCCTGGTGCTCCGCACGCCCGAATGCCCCTCTGCGCCCATAAGCGATGCGTCCAGGTCCCTGTTCCCTGGGAGTTGAGCTCCCCTCAGGGACCAGACAAGCGGTATGAGCCAGTACAGGCCACCCTCGCAGGTGCTGGAGCACGGAGCCACTGCGTCTGGCCTTGACACTTGCCGCACGTCTTTTCGATTGATTTTTCAAAAAGAAGGCCAAGCCAACTTTAATCTAAGAAAAGGAAAAGTGATTTTACAAAATCAGGGAGCTTTAAATCGAAACGGAGTTATATATTTCAGTAACAATGCAAACCGTGAGTTTTAATGTCTCTGCGTAGGCATTTTAATTTGCTACAGTCACTACCAATAAAAACGGCATGTAGTGCGATTCGACTGTTTAATAGTGCAAGGTAGACGGTTTTTATTAGTAGCAGGCAGCAGTATGGAAAATTTAGATTTCAGTGGAGGAGTGTAATTGCTGGGGAAAAAATACACTCAGGAAGAGGCTGTCTTTAGAATCAGCAGCACTGAGCAGAGAGGGAGCAGGCAGTGTTTCTGGAGACGCACCCTGCGCCACCGGGAGACCCTCCAAAGCCACGTGCACTTGTCTGGTTAGATACTTAATTGATGTCAAAATCGAGTGTATTCCCAGCCGAGGTTCCTGCTCCAAACTGGGGATGTTTTTGTAATAATTCGCTGTTTTCTTTTCTGCCCCTGGCAGAGATAGGGAGGGGGAGAGGGAGGGCAGGCAGGGGCCGAGCCCCAAATGCTAATGAAACCACAGCAGGAACTGGTCTTTAGAAATGGAAATTCTCAAGGCCAGTTCTTCTAGAAGATAAAAAGTTAGACCTGATTTTTTTTCGCTTGAACTATTTAATTGGAAGCGAACCGAAAGGCAGCAATTTGATCTGTTGCTGCCTATGCTTGTCATCCAAGTGTGCGCGACTTTGGTATGGCTTCTTTCTGGCCGAATTCCCTCTAGAAAGACCAAAAATGTCATAGATCCAGTCACTGGCATGCTCCACAGGGCGGCTGGGGCTTCTCTCCCACTCTCTTTCCTTTTTCACTCTACAATAATTGATATAAAATATAGGCCCTGCACTGAACTCGGAGGTCCCACTTGGGGGGGGGGGGTATTGTTGGACCGCCCCTGCTGGGTTTTTGCAGTGGCCCAAAGTGGTTGGAAGTGGTATGTGTGGAGGGGGGGTGGGGAGTGCTGTGCTGTGCTAGGCAGGGGGCAAAGTGAAGACTGATGGATAGAGGGGGCCGGGCTGTGGTCTGTAGGAATAATGGTGGGGGAGCAATGGAGGACCGGGATGGGAAGGCTGGAGAAGGAACAACGGCTGGGGGCTAGCTGGGGAAGGCTGCTGTCGTAACTGCCTGGACTGAACCAACCAGGAGTGACAAGCCTGCAGGCCAAGGAGGACAATTTCAAGCTGGTTTCCCAGCACCCAGGGACAATCAAACTCAGCCTGTGCCTTGAAGGTTCCGCGTGAGACCAGGCCTGAGGTAGGAGCCCCCGCGCGGCGCCCGGCGACTCCGACCAATATTGGATAAACGAGGCCTTGAATGAGCTGCGGAACCAACAAGGCTGGGGGTGGGAGGGGGGGAGCGGGGTGGGGCGAAAGAGGTGTGGGGGAAGGGGACTTGTAAACCAGAGCTCCCACCTAAGGTGTTTTTCCGGTACAGGTCACCCACCGGAGATGGCCTCTGATGAAGAGGCACCTGTTGGGTGGGCGCCGACATTCAGGCCTGCACACACCAGGTTCCCCCTGAAGCCTCTGAGCGTGCCCCTTCCCGGACTCCTCTTCTTCGGGACCCCGCTGGGGAAGGGGTGGAAGAGGGATGAGGAATGGGGGGTTTTCGGGGGCTGCGGTCCCAGGTTCCACAGCTAAGCGTCTTTCACCTCTAGGCCCCGCGAGGCTCCTCCTGAGCCGCGTGTTACCTGATCTACCTGCGCTGATAACTGCTCCCGAGCCAGCAGTCCTTGGCTTTCTCCTTCCTTCCCGAGTGACAGCGAGGCTTCACATCATGCCAGCGGCGGTGTGTCTGTCCAGTGACAGTCATTCCCCTGAGTGTTTTACAACAAAAATCTGAAAGAGAACTCGTTAAGACAAAATAAAACCGTTTGGCGGGGAAGCACTGGTAGCGTGCGCTAAAACGTTCCCAACCTCGGAAAGTGCCAACACCCAGAGACCCTAGTTTCCATCACGGACTTCTGGGCAGAAAGCTCACCTCTAGGCTCTCCTGGCAGTTCGCAGCGAAGTCGCCCGGATCCGGGTCCCGCGGGGACACGCTGGGCCGCACGGGGCAGGCGACCAGAGGCGAGGCCACGCGGGACGCCTACCACAGTGAGGCAGAGTAGACCCAGGATGGTGGAAGTGAGAGCCATAAACGCCACCCTCAGGAAGACCCGGGCCGCGGGTACCACCATCCCGCGCCCCCCATCGCCCCGCAAGCTGTCAGCTAGGACACTGCGTTCCGCGCGCGGTCACCTGGGAGTGTCTGTTCCCGGTGAAGACAGGGGCTCAGGCCGTTCGTCTCCCAAGCCTACCAGCCTAGCCAGACTGCGTGCCGCCTCAGCCTAGTCCTTGCGTGCCGATCTGGGGGGCCGGCCAGTGGCTGGATTGGGACGGGGTGAAGGGGGTGGGGTAAGAAGACTCACTAGGGTGGGAGAAGGGGGACCCGCTGCGAATACGTGCGAGTGCGAGTGCGAGTGGGTGCGCGCCGAGTCGCGCAGCTCGGCCCCGCCAAGTTGCGGGGCCGCGGGCCGCGGGCCGCGGGCTGGGGCTGCGCGAGAGGAGACTGCGCCACAAAAGCCTTCGCGTCCCTCCCTCCGCCTTCCTCCCCCGCTCCCGCCTGCCTCTCCTCCGCCTTCCCCTCTCCTCCCCTCGCCGCTCCCTGCTCCTCCCCCAGCTGCGGTTAGGCAGCTGGATGGGCGGAGCAGGCGGAGCCGCGGAGGGGGCGGGCGCCCGAATATGCAGATGAGCGCGTGACGGACAGCTCCGCGTTCCAATGTCCCTCGGAAACTCGAGCGCTCCTTCCTCAACTCCTCACTCGCGACTTCAGACTCCCCCAAACCCCGACCGCCGGCCTGGCGCGCGGCTGCGCCCACCGGCTCTGCGCTGCCGCCGCCACTGCCGCCACTGCCGCCGTCCCGCCGCTTCCCCGGCCTGCGGGCCGCCTGGGCTAGTGCGCGGGCCGGCCTACCTCGGCCCGCGGCCCCCGCGCCCGCCGCCGCCCCGCGCCCCGGCCGGGCGTGAATGGAGGGCGCCGTGAGCCGTGCCCGCTGCTCGGTGTGACGCGGGCCCCGCGCCCACCATGTCCTACCCTCAGGGCTACCTGTACCAGGCGCCCGGCTCGCTGGCGCTTTACTCGTGCCCAGCTTACGGCGCGTCGGCACTGGCGGCGCCGCGCAGCGAGGAGCTGGCGCGCTCGGCGTCGGGCTCCGCGTTCAGCCCTTACCCGGGCTCGGCGGCCTTCACCGCGCAGGCGGCCACTGGCTTCGGCAGCCCGCTGCAATACTCGGCCGACGCCGCCGCAGCCGCCGCGGGCTTCCCGTCCTACATGGTAACCGCGCGGGCGGGTGGGAACACGGGACACCCGGGCGTGGGGACTCCGATCTGTCGCAGACGGAGTGGGCCCGGGGATCCGCGAGCGGGGACTCCGGAGTGGCTGCCTCGGGCTGCCGCGCAGCTGATGGGACAAGAGACCAGGGTGAGAGGTAGCGCGGCCAGCCGGCGACGTTCTGGAGCCCCGACCGGGACCCACGCCCTGCGCCATTTCCCTTAGGCTCCCGGGGTAATTTTCCCCAAGAGCCTGGAAAGTGCGAATACTCTGGTGTCCGGATCGGTTGTGGGTTGTCCTTAGTTCAGGCACCGAAGCTTGGCGAGGGGTCCAGAGCGAGCTCGGGACTGGCTTCTTTTGGCGCGGGGAACGAGGGTCGGCGCCACTGGGATCTTCAGGAAGGCTGCCGGGCGCTTAGCAGTTGCTTTCGGGGTTTGGGAGTCACCAGGTTGAGGGAGGGAGGGAAGCATCCACCGGGGGCTCCAGGGCCCGGCTCAGCCCGCCTTGGTCTGGTTCTTAATCTGCCTCGCAGGCTCTGCTTTCGAAAAACGTGTCGGCGGGCATGTGGCCCGCCAAGTGCCCTCTTGGTCCCCTGGGCACCGAAAGCAGCTCCTGCTCCCGTGATCGGGGAACGGCCCGGTGCGCCTCAGTTCTGCTTCGGGGCCCGGTGGCGGTGGCGGCGGAGTGCTTTTAGGGCGATTGAAGCCGTTAGGGGGTTGTCCACACTGCCCGCCCACGGTGGAATTCCCGGGCAGCGACCGAGTAGCTGGGGCCTAGGTGAAGGCTGCAAAAGCCTCGAATTTAAACGTTACAGGCTGAATTAAAATGCTAATTACCGCGTATTTGAAGAATTCGAAACGGTGACTGGCCTCTGAGTTGCAAATTGGATTTGCCGAGCTTTGGAGCGGTGAATAGAGGAGCAGGGGCTCGGGATGATTTTTTAACCATATAAGGGCGGGGTAGGGGGAGTAGGGGGGAGGCCGCAGCGCATGAGAATACAGAGAAATTTAGATATCAAGAAACTACCTTTGGGTTTGTGCGTGCCTGAGTGTTTGCTTGCGCCTGTACACGCGGCCCAGAGATTTTGCAGAGGAAGATAGATATGCCATTTTAGGAAAGTGAAATCGTTAAAAATTTCGGGACTAAAATTGCAGCGCTTTTTGTGATCAACAGCCGGCCTTAATAACCCGCTTCGGTTTTTTTCCCCCTGCTCTGCTGCTGCGGGAATCGAGGCTCCACCGCGGGAGACCTGCCGTGGGAAAGGCGGCCGCGGGCGGGCCGAGGGGTTGCCTTCTGGCGGTTGCCTGCCAAGACCCCACGCACCCCACTCACCAGGCTCTTGTCGGTTCCAGGGCGCGCCCTACGACGCGCACACGACTGGAATGACGGGCGCCATCAGCTACCATCCCTATGGCAGCGCGGCCTACCCATACCAGCTCAACGACCCAGCCTACCGCAAGAACGCCACGCGGGACGCCACGGCAACGCTCAAGGCCTGGCTCAACGAGCACCGCAAGAACCCCTACCCCACCAAGGGCGAGAAGATCATGCTGGCCATCATCACCAAGATGACCCTCACGCAGGTCTCCACCTGGTTCGCCAACGCGCGCCGGCGCCTCAAGAAGGAGAACAAGATGACCTGGGCCCCGAGGAACAAAAGCGAGGACGAGGACGAGGAGGAGGGTGACGCGGCAAGGAGTAAGGAGAGTCTGGATAAGGTGCAGGAGGGCACGGAGACATCCGCAGAGGACGAAGGTGAGCGAGGCCTGGGCTGGTTCGAGGTTGCCGAGGTTGCCGGGAGTTTTCTTCCCAGGTGGGGTGCAGACCTGAGGGAGGGGAGGATGCTGCTGGCCTGACAGCCCTGGTTCCAACCTGGAGCCTCTACCGCCTGACCCGTGGGCCTGGCAGCTCGTGGGCCGAGCGACTCCTTGGGGCCTTCCCAGGGAGGCCTTGCTCCCTCTAGTCCGTGGCAGGTTTTGGGTGGAGGTAAAGAATCTTATGGGGAGGGCCCGGTACCCCTGGACGTGGGGCAGAGGGGCCCCTGGTGCCTTCGCTATCCCACGTGCCACAGACGGTTCCCGCGTCCCTGCAGGGATCAGCCTGCACGTCGACTCGCTCACGGATCACTCCTGCTCAGCTGAGTCAGATGGGGAGAAGCTGCCCTGCCGTGCCGGGGACCCGCTGTGCGAATCCAGCTCAGAGTGCAAGGATAAGTACGATGACCTGGAGGACGACGAAGACGACGAGGAGGAGGGCGAGAGGGATCTGGCGCCGTCCAAGGCCGTGACCTCGTCGCCGCTCACTGGCGTGGAGGCGCCATTGCTGAGCCCCCCGCCGGAGGCCGCGCCCCGAGGTACTGGCGGCGGAAAGACCCCCCTGGGCAGCCGGACGTCGCCGGGCGCGCCGCAGCCCGCCAGCAAGCCCAAGCTGTGGTCTCTGGCCGAGATCGCCACGTCGGACCTCAAGCAGCCAAGCGTGGGCCCGGGCTGCGCGCCGCCGGGGGTGCCCGCGGCCGCAGCTCCCGCCTCGTCCGGAGCGCCACCGGGAGGATCACCATATCCCGCGTCGCCGCTTCTTGGCCGCCACCTCTACTACACGTCGCCCTTCTATGGCAACTACACAAACTACGGGAACTTGAACGCGGCTCTGCAGGGCCAGGGGCTCCTGAGGTACAACGCGGCGGCCTCGGGCCCCGGAGAGGCGCTGCACGGGGCGCCCAAGGCGGCCAGCGACGCGGGCAAGGCAGGCGCGCATCCGCTGGAGCCCCACTATCGGCCCCCAGGCGGCAGCTACGAGCCCAAGAAAGGTAGGCTGCTGGGGCCCTGGGTCCTCTGGGAGGGACAGCCAGCGAGGCCCGGTTAGTCAGTACTCCCAAGAAACCGGGGACGGGATTGTGAGACCAGCAGATGTGCAGGGGGAGCCTTTGTCACTTAAGGGAGAAACAGAAAAAGACATAATGCACCACCCTTTGATAAACATTTAAAAGAAGTGAGGGGATGATGGCTACAAAAAGTCGTGGGAAGGGTAAGGCGATCTTTGACTTGCAATGAGACCTGCTCCTTATTATTTACTATTTATTTACTTACTATGATGGCCATCATCATCATGGCAGTTTTAGTTTGGCAAACGCGGGCGCCAGGAAATGCAAATTGTAGTTTGTCTCCCCGCTGACTGAGCTTCAGCTTTGGTGTGTTCTGTTGTTCATATAGTTTCTCCTTCTTCCCTTGGCTGGAAGGAAACAAAACGTTCCAGTTATTCCCAGAGGCCTTAGTTCTTCAAAATAGAAAACCAGAGCCTTTTTCCTTTCTCTCCCTTTCTCTAGATTGCCTCTGTTGCCCCTAACTCGGGCTTGAGCTGATGAAACCTGTAAAAGGAGCTCAAGGGGGTGAGAAAATGAGAACTCAGAAATATGACCAAAATCTGCCTCTGACACTGTGATCACCCACAGTCAGGCTCCCCTTTCTGTTTGCCCCACACAGGGAGCAAGCGTGTTCCTGGGTGTGCGGGCTGGTGGCTGTGCTGCTGTCTGGGAGACAGACAGCTGCGGCTTGGTTCTGACTAACTGCCCCCTCCCCTGACAGATGCCAGTGAGGGCTGCACCGCGGTTGGTGGGGGCATCCAGTCCTACCTATAGAAGGGCCGCCACAGCAATGCAAGTAAGTGGGCCCCCTGGTGTTTCAGCCCACTGTGGGGGAGCCTCCCTGCACCAATTGCTTTGTAAACTTGCTTAATGTCTATTTCTTGCTTCTTGTCATGGGGTCTGAAGTCAGCATTGCAATCTTCTTGGTCTTTTTTTCCTTTAAGTGGAAGAGGATTGGTTCTTTTACAGACTCCCTCTTTTTTTTTGCTCAAGTTCTGCTTTGAAGAATCACTCCTTTAACTGGAATATATATACACACACACACTTTTTTCTCAATCTGGAAATTTGTGTGGTATACGGAGTGTTTTTACTCCACAAGACATGGAATAGACACTTGCTTTGATGAGCTAGTGTTACTGAAACTTGGTGTCAGAAGCCTTTCTAGATGGTGTTTGCTGAGTAAGACTGAGACAAGAAGCACTCCTCTTCCCCTCTTACCAGGCCCATTTCCCTGTCCAGACGGGCTAGATAGGACCCTGCAGATCCTCTGGCTCACAGCAGTATTTAAAAAACAACAAACCTATTTTACAAATAGGCAAAATTACTTGTTACACATTTTTAAGGTGAGAAAGAGGCAGAACCCTTTCAGCACGACTCCATTTTATAATGTGATGATGTTGGTGTGGAACTGAAGGATTTGGGATGATTTGGTTTTTTCCTTGGTCCACAGGTAGGTGTCACAATTGCTTTGGAAAAAAAAAAAAAAAAGTCAGCAGGCCATTCTCTCTTCCCAAGTTCATAAATACACAGACGTAAAAAGCCGCTCTCTCACCCGGAACGCATCTTGTGCCACTGTAAAAGAAGCCACAGAGCACTGTCAGCCCAGACTAACTGAACAACTTTTGTTGGATATACGTGAATTTGTTGGCATAGTATAGCTTCCCCAATGTATGTGTGACTTTTGAAAACAATCTTTTTTCTCAGGATATCTTGAATTGATCACTTCATTGCCACGGTATATATGCTATAGGTGTGATAGGATTTACTGTAAAATTTATTTGTAAAAGATGTACACAGTAGAAATAAAACGTGATTGAAAAACTTGAGTACTTAAAAAGTGGAAACAAATTTGATATTTATTTTTATAATGATATAAAGCTTCTAGTAATTTATGCAAGTTGTATTGCAATGGAATCTAAACTTTTTGTAAATAAATTCTGCCTGGTTTTTATTTGAACATTGCTGGTTATACAATCTTTGTTGGTTGTTTAACAATAATTCTTTACTAATTTATATCTTAAATTGTAAATAAAAACAGACTAGACTACAGCAATATGGTGTTTGGGGCTCCTTTTTCTTAAAAGAGTGATTTGGGCAGAGCCCCAGTGAGGGCAGTCCTCTCTCAGGTGATCTGACCTCAGGCTTTTTAAAGAAAATGTGTAAAATAATCTCCCCTTTCTGCTCATTAAAAAAGAAGGCAGGTGGAAGAGAAATAAGCAGTAGGGAAATACCTATGATTTTTAGATTGTTTCTATACACATGTACTGCAAGAAAATTAAAGTTCTAAGTTCTTAATGTTGAAAATACTTGTTAGTGTAAACTTTTTAAAACTTGACAAAATAAAATGACCTGACATCCCTATGCTTTAGGGTCTATTTAATATATATTTCTAATGCTGGCTTATTGAACCTCCTCAGTAAACTGTGGAAATGTGTGCTAACGTGGATAGTAAAGAGTTACATCCCCCCACCATAAATTACTGATGGGAATAATTATTTATTTTAAAGCCTGAATTATCCAAATTGGCATAGATTATTCAGATTTATTGAATGACTTCTTAACTCTCCTTTTCATATAACTCACATAAACACAAGGCGAAAAAGAGGAGGAGAGATTTATTTTCCTCTCAGTGGCTCTCACCCTTACCCTGGGGGAAAAGAAAAGCTTAAACACCCTTAGACTATTGCCTCGTTATTGTGTTACTCACTATCTAATTATAGGACAAGTCTAGAATTTGTAGGCAAGTAACATATTTCCTTTGATTAGTATCATAAAAGCAGGAAACCTGTCACTTTAATTTTCAGCAAAATTATATGGATATCCATATAATACAATTTCAGAAAAGAAATGAACAATCATTTATTTCCTCTGCAAAGATAAATTGAGTGAATATAACTTACGGTTATAAAACAAGAATAATAGCTCCTCAGATTGCCCTTTAATCAATCATACACTTATTTTTCAAGAGGTTCATCTATTTTATTCCGTGATTAATAATGCTGCAGCATGAGCACATTATTGCATCCCAGTGGGGGACGTCCCGGGTGCTTTTAGCTGCTTTGGAATGGTCAGTTGGGGTTCATTATGGTCTGATATTGAACAATTTATAAAATCTTGTCTAAACATCTGCCAGCTCAGATAGGCCCATGTGTCTGAGGATGGGAAATTGCTGGACCGGTTGATATTGACAAACGGATCTCTCTCCAGTGGCTTTTTGTGCAGTAGAAATTAGTGGCCTCTTGCTGGGGTCTTGTTAAAAAGGGTATTTGAAAGTAATCTTACCTACTTGAGGCAAAGCCAGGGGGCTGTGAACTGGACAGAGTGGTGTGGTGGGGAGGAGCAGTTGTGGTTTGTGGAGAAAAGGAGCACATTGAGTTTCCAGTTTTCTGACTTCTTAGGCATTTTGTTGGTTTTTGGATATATAACCATTTGGAGGTCAAACTTAAAGTGAATCTTTGGGATAGAGAACTATTTTTCTCTCCTTCTTGCCTCCCCTGGTAACAGATGAGGCAAGGTTTGGAGCCCAGCTCTCTCTCAGGGACAGGAAGGTTGTTCACAGGGAAGTCTAGCCTCTGGGGCGGTGTGTCTGGAGGAAAACAAATGCCAGTCTGTGGAAGTAAAAGGGAGCTGGGAGCTTCTTTGCTTGTTTTTGTTTAAGACATAAAAACTCAGAGAATTCCTGTGAAGATAATAATGATTTTTTCCGCTGCAGATAGCATTTTAGATTACAATATGAAGCTGATAGGTAGTTTGCTTTTTATTAATACTAGCCATTTTCCTTAAATCAGCAGGAAATACAATGCACATGGCAGCAATATCGCTGTTATATGTAATATTCTAATTTGAGCATTCTGAAGACTTCAGTGAAAAGGATGAAAATTAACAATATTTGACAAATTAAACACTGAAAGACCATATACCCTAATTAAGATACAACACAGAAGACACTCCATCTCTTAAAGCATAGAGTGTGCGAGTAGAAAACCCAAGCAAAAATTGATCTCCGTGCATATGTTCAGAAATTGAAGCCTGGATGAAAGCTGCCTCCGTTTGGAACAGAAGATTGTGTTACCTGGACATGTGATACATCCCCCCACACAGGCACACACCCCAGACAGACCCTGTTCTCAGGGACAACCTGCACCTTTCAATTGGTGAAAACTCAAAGGAGCTCAGGAGATTAGCCCAGGCTAACGAATCTTCTTTGATGTTTATATGCCCAACAAATTATCAAAGATTTCCATAACTTACCCACCCTGCCTCCTGACCTGGATTTCTTTCTGGAGAACTTGATTTTTAAATGTACACTAAGAACATAAAACCTGCAGGTGTTTAGAGGGATCTTTTTAAAGAATTGCCGAGTGATTTATGAGCTCTTCACCATGCAGATCTTTAGTTAAGATGAAGGGGGGAGGAGGGGGGAGAAAAGATATCTTTCACTGGAGAAGGAATTAATGAGGTCTAATTTTATTTTTGCTTTAAAATCTAGTTAATTGAAAATATAGTCGCCGGCCATGCTAGTCATGTGCAGTTGTTCCTAGAGGCTGGCACATGCAGCACCTGGAGCCACGCAAGCGTCTGGGGTGCTGGCCTGGGCGCATTCCCAGCTCCATGGCCCCTTTGCCCTCCGCGGTCCGGGGTTCATTAGAGCTGATTTATCGGAATTCGCGCTTTAATCTCAGGTGGACCCGGAGGCCCAGCGCTGCCGAGAGCACCGGGAGCGCTTGCCCGGCGGCCGGTGCCTCCCGCGCCCGTCAAATGTCAACATTTGTTCCCAATAAAAGAGTTATTGTTTCTGCAAAGCTGCCCAGCCACTGCCTTTGAAACTTGAAAAGAACTTCATCCACCTTTGTCTGATGCGAGGCAGGAGGGGCGGAGCGGAGGGCGAGGGAGGGAGGGAGGGGGCCGGGGCTGCGCTGCCTGGGGTCGTGGGGGCGCATGCCTGCACCCCCACGCGGGCCGCTGGAGTTCATTCCGTAGGTAAGAGGCTCCCGGTCTGCACCCGGCTGCGCTCTGCGCGCGTTTATCGGGTATCAGACTGTGTGCGGTGCAAACCACTGCAAAAAAGAGAGAGAGAAACACAGGAATGCGATAGCCAGGCGCAAAACCCGCCTGCGTTTTAGGGTCATTTAAAGTTGCATTAAATTATTTATTAAAGAGGTTAAAAGTAAAGCGGACCTTTCGCTTTTTAACGTTTCTTTATAAATGTGCCCTAAACTTCCACTGCTAGAGTTGAGGTAAACAGACATACGTGTACAAAAAATCAATCCAAACCAATTTCTCTTTTCAGTCAGAGTCAGTTCTTTTCAAATTTAAATACACTGAACTTTTAGGAAGTTCCTCCCAAGTACCAATATACAACGATTATCCACTGTATAGTTTTTCTTTAGTTATCCAGTGCGTTAAAATCTCAAGGAAAATATTCACTTTAACTCCAAATTAAGGACTCAAATAGACCTTTTAAATATGTGTTTTTAACTGCATTTACCAAAAAAATAATAATAACATTTCAAACATTTTAAAATGTGTTAAGCTAAGAGGCAGTCTTGGGAACAACACGCATTTGTGATAGGTGGATATTACGATTAACGCCACTTCAATTTCTGCAAATCAGAAAGGAGACATGTCCCTTTGATGTATTTTCAAACCTTTATATGACAAATCCCTACAGATATTTTAAAGGCTTATTATAAGGAGAAGTAATCTATGACAATATAATTTTCCAGTTGTTGAAAATTACTTTCTGTTGTCCATAACGAAAGCACACGCCAGCCCTCCCCTTTGGTTTAGCTGGAACTCTAGGGAACTGGTGTCCAATGATATGCCTTGGACTTCAGCCATTGGTGGGAGAGGGAGAAGAAACTTCTAACCCCAGTTTTAAGGTGCAAACACCCTCATTTGCATGTTTCACCTGCAACTCCTGCAAAGAGAGAGATAATTTCCACTGTTACCTCCAACCCCATCTTCCCATACGCAGAGTAGGCCTGTGTTCCCTTTCCTGAGGACAGAGCGATCTCCCTCTTTCTAAGAAAGGTAGGAATTGAAGGTTATAAAAGAAGACTATACTGGTAATATAATAAAAATGAAATGAGTTGTGAAATCTGTCTGTTCTTTGCAATCCCCACTACAAGGAAAGAGGAAGAATTTTTTTTGTTTAAGTCTGGCCCCAAGACAATAAGGAAAAGTTTTTTGTTTTGTTTTTAAGGTGTCCCAAAGTAACTTTGTTTTACAGGGAATTGAAGACAAATTAAATCTAATATTCTTAAAGAAGTGACTGTGAGGTTTGGGGCTGCCTCCTAATGGGAACAGTCTATCCTCATAGGAAATGCCCACAGGGAAGAAACAAAACAATGCTACACAAACACGTGCATCTTTGTGCGGAGATAAATTGACAATTTATCCTGTGTAACTCCTGATCAATTATTAATCTTTAGTGTCAACAACAGGGTTATAATTACCTTTGGTTATTTTAATATTTATTTTTTTCATTTCTCTGATCCGGTAATTAGCTAATGCTGTTGAGTAATGAACCTAGAGACCAGGCCCTCTTGGCCCCTCCTTTTCGGTGACCTTTAGGGAAACCACTCACATTCACCCTCCAGTTCTCAGACATCCCTTGCCTGCCTCCATTCTACCACAGGGCACTTTTTTTTCCCCTGCCATAAATAATGATTCCAGAGGAAAAGGGGAAAATGACAAACAAATAGGGCGCAGCTGGAATTAATAAGGCTGATCAAAGTTAAAGGGGCTGGGACTGCTTGCAGCAGCGCAGTCTGAGGCTCTGAGGTCCAGAAAGGTGCCAGCAATTCTTGCCTTTCCCTCCAAGATCAAGAGAAAGGGCAAAGCGGACATTTAACCCCTGACTTATTCTAATAGGGGAGGGGGACCGGGAAGGACCCTGTTTTCAGGCCGTGCTAACTCCAGCAGGGCGGCCAGTCTGGCCTGGGGGTGGCGAGGACGCTACTCTTTCGCCCAGCGCGGGTGCGGGGCCAGAGAGCACTCCGCTCCCGAACCCCACCTACCGCCCTGGGCCAGGGGGTTCCTTGGCT